CAATCAATCAATAATGTTTTCTTGCAATTTACCTCATTCCTTTTATTGGAAATGAAAAACAGAAAACTATTACAGCAAACTTTTTTCTTTTCCTTCTAACTAAGTTGTTGAAAATTTGTCGAAACTATAAATTTGTCAATTTCTAGGAAAAAAATTTGATACTTTTTTAATAAATTTCTCATCCGTTACCTTTCCATTCATTCCTCGAATATTAAAATGGAAAGAAATATTTTTGACACTTGAAATTTGGAATCGATCAAAAGATGTTATCAGTACTTATGATTTCTTTCCAAAAATAGGTCATTGTTCTTCCTGTTTTATATATCTTGACAATAGATTTTAGCAAATGATTAAAACTTTAATTTCCTTTTTTTTCATCTCTTTTGACAAAATCCTCTTTAGGGACAAGAATTTCATTCCAACTTATTTTTCATTCATTTGCTCTTGTTAATCAATCAAGCGATAAAAGACTCTGATAGTAGCAGTTCAATCATTGTTTTCAAAATATTTACATTTTATATTATCATTTTTTTCAATTTAATCCATCTAATTAGATAAGAATGCATGCTAATCAGAGAAAATATGTAACTTTAGAAAACTAATGACTTTCATCACTTTCCTCCTATATCTCTCACTGTTCTTAAAACGCCAGTTTTTTAAATATAAAAATTATCAGAGCTGATTCATCCTGTTAATTGTAATTTAATTTCGAATTTTTTGATTTCGGAAAATTTACTGGTGTATTTGATTTGATTATCTCATTGCAACCTCCGATCAGCAGCAGGGATTCTGTCACCAATTCTGAACATATGATAAATATTTTTGCATAATAGCGTGCATATTATTGAAAAGCAAACTTTTCAATGCTAACCTTATTTATACAAATTTAAATCAAAGTATGCAAATTAATGTTTGGTATTTCTTACTGAAAGATATTTACCATTTCTCGTAAATCTCATAATCACAGTTATATCATATTATTACCTAATACTTTGATGTATCAATTAATTACTTCTATGCTTCCTTTCATAAATGTTATTACAGTTACTTTACTTATGATTCATACTTTGCTTTATAGCAAATAATTACTAACAGTTATACCTTACCCTAAGTTTACCTTTCTTCCTAGCAAATTTCATTGTCAATTTGATTTCAATTTACATAATTTTCTTTTCTCTAATAACAATTTGATGGAGAAGAATATTTTAATTGCTTGTTTTATTATTATTATAATAATAATAATAAAGCAATTAACTACCTAACTTGGTGAAATTTCAGATATTAAACATGGAGGGAAATTGTGGTTCACCGTCATCATCAGAACAAGCAGCTAACGAAGGTGATTATTCAAGTTGTAACAATCTAAATTCAAATGTAGAACGAAATTCTGCATGCGAAAAAAAGGTAAATTTTTATAAAAAGAAAAAATAAAAAAAATGCCAAACTGTCAAATAAAATCATTTAAATGATAAAAATTGAAAGAAAAACTGAAATACTTAAAATTTTGTGAAAATTAAAATGAAAACGAAATTTCAGTTGCGTTTATAAAAACTTTTCTTTTATTCATTCTTTCCCCATTCATAAATACTGTCATTTTTATATTTGATAAAATAAATTAACAGGAAAATTTCATTTACACCAATGAAATTTATCAAAATGAAAATTTTTCGTTTAAGTGACTAACATAAATTGTCGAATATTAAAAATAAAATCACTGACAAAAATGTATTTATTTGATCATAATTTAAAATTTTCTAAAATTAAGTGAAAATAAGATGAATTAATAGCCCTAAATTGCCTAAAAGGGACAGTTCTTGATGGATTAACAAAGAGTAGTGAAAATTACCAAATCCTTTATCATTCCATTTTAGTTATGAAAATAAATTCAAAATATCATCAATAATGAAGCAATCATTTGTTTACACAACCAATTATATCATCTCAACAATTTATTAGGAAAAAAAAAAGGAAAATGAAGTTAAAGTTTAAAATTTATTTCGTTAAAAAATTTAGCAAAAAGATCATGATTTTTTAAAATTTTTAAGGTCCCAAAAAAAAAGTTCATTTTAAAATTTCGTTTCCATTCCTTTTTATTTTCTTTCACTTTTTTTTTCCCCGTGAAAAAAAGATTCGTAATTCATTGGAAGAAAATAAATAAAACTAATCATAAAATTAAAGTATATAGAATTGATTTCTTTTTAAACAATCAATTTTTTCCAAAATTTTTTTCGAAAGATTATTATTTTCAATTTAATTTTACTTTTTCTTTTAATTTTTGTCCATCCAAGTTTTAATTAATTAGTTAATGTTTTTCATTGTTTTTTCCTTTTTTTTTTGCAGAAATTTTATGGAATACTTACCTTATGTGCGATGAACATTACATTGTGCTCCTCACTTCTAATCATTTACAACAATAATCAATCATTACTGATCGTTGCTATGATAAATTTAGCATTTACAGTGTTAGCTGCTATTGCTTTTGCTGTACATATACCACAACTTGTTATCGTTTGTGTCATTTATAAAGTTAGTCTTATCATTTAATTGATGATATTTTGGGAATTTTTTAAAAAAAAGAAACCTTTTCTTGTTCTTTTTTCAATTATTCTTTTATTGTCAAATTTTTTCTTTCTTCTTTCAAACGATCCAAAATTATTTGATAAAATCTAATGATAATAATTAATTTGATTTGCTAAATTATTAAATGATTACCAATTACTTTTTCTTACAAATATGACATAAAAGGGAAAGTTACCATAAATTATAATGGCAATATATCTTGTCATAGACAAAATTAATAATTATGATAATAATTTACTTCCAATTTTTTTTCGAACATTTTCTTTTTCGCTTTTTTCTTTAAATCTCAGATTTTCTTTTTCGCTTTTTTCTTTGAATCTCAGAAAAAAACCTGAAATTTGAAAGGATTCAAAATTCTTGAAAAAGATTTCATTTGTTATAAAAGTTTAGCTTTTCAATCGCTTTTTTTATTTTGAATACACAAATTTAAATAAAACAGGAAAAAACAAAAAGAAAATGAATTGTCAACTGAATTTTTTATTTCCACAGATTTTATGTGCGACATATTTATCATTTCTAATATGCAAATTAATCGATGCTATTGTAATGGAACAATGTTATATTACACCGGAAAACATATGGCTTATTGTGGCACTTATATGCACAACAATCGAAATTAGGTGAACTAATTTATCATTTTAGCAGAAAAAAACCAAAATGATCAAAAAAAGAATTTTTTTCACAAATAATTTCAATCTTGATTAAAAAAATTGTCAAGCAGTAAATTATATTTTATTCAAGCAAAATTCTGTAAAAGTGTCTTTGTGTGAGCTACATTGAATAATTTAAAGAATTGGAATACTTTAATGAATTTGAAAAAATAAATTAAATTGAATTTTTTGGATAATATAAAAGGTTACTCTCATTTAAATTTCAAATCCATCAGAAAAAAAAGTCAATCATTATACACTTTTTTATATATTCTAAAATCAGTTTAATCATAATTTTATTTCTTTTTCACTTCACAATAAAAATAAAACGATATGATGGATGGATGGATAAATGATAAGATCTGGAAAGTTATTTGTTTCAGCTTGTTCAGGTTATTGATGAACTTTAAAATAGAAGTGGAAGAAGAGGGAAATGAACAAATACAACAATCACCACCTAAATATTCCAGTTGTGCTTTAGCATCATCTCCAACCAATTCACAATTACCTTCTTATAATGAAGCGCTCAAAATAATTGAAAAACAAAAAGATGGTTTGTATTCCTCAATTGATCATAAACTTATTAGTTATCGATAATTTGGAAGCTTACTTTAAATAGCTAATCTTAAAGCCTAGATGTATTCTCATTACAAACTGCTTAATTGAAAATTTGAAACTAGATGGACTAGAAGGTATTACGGTTAGTCGATAAGACAATAAGGAAATCATTTTGGGTTAAAAAAAAAAGTTGGGGACAAGATTTTATAAGTCCAAATGATAACAAAAAATTCAAGTAATATATGAAAATGAATAAGAATAGTTCGTTGTAACTTACTTTCTGATAATAATACCAACAACTTATCTCTAACTTTTCTAAAAAGTTATTGCAAAATTCTTATTAAATTTGGGTGCAAAAGTAAGGGAATGGTAGAAAAGTGTGCTATAGCATAGTAAGGAATACTTAAAGGAAAAAAAAGAAAGAAGTGAAGTTCGGAAATTGCAACTAAAAATGATTCGTCTAAATTTAATCTGTACATTATAAGTATGGTATAAGATTGAGATGTCAGTTAAGAAATATGCTAAAATAAAATAAAAATATTATGTTTGGGTTTGATTAACAAAGAGAGAAAAAGGTCGTTTCCTTTTTCTCTGCGAAACCGGTCACTGAAAAAAATGACCGAAACTGACCTATCGTTATTACAGTATTATGTTTCGTATTTTATGAACAGGAAACGATCGATATAATACTAACATAATAATAGGAACTACTTAATGAATTGCAGAAAACAAAGTAACTTATTCTTTTTGAGAATTTCCCCCTAAGCATTAAATTTCTTTTAGGTATGCAGACACAAAATCCAGGAGTGCAAACTTTGCCACCAGTTTATACTATACCAATTACCGGAACAACAAGGTCAATGTTTAAAGATAATTCATCAATTTGAAGAGTTTTTTATTTATTTGAATGTATCATATATGTATAAAAAGTAATTGGTGTAAAATGGGGTTATTTAAAACATATATGCGTTTTCTTTTTTTATTTTCTTTCTCATACTGAAATGTTTTAGTGATATAATAATGACGGTCATCTTTGTTTTCCTTTTGCGATTACTGTATCCTTCATACGGGTATTAACATTAATATTTAATATCACTTGTCGTCTATTACTAGTTTCAGTTAGTGTTAGAACCAATGGATACATTATAGCAGATATTTTTGACAATCTCATATCGTTTGTAATAAACAAACAACGCTCTTGACCTTGTTATTATGATAATCAACATTTATATATATACAAGTTAAATTCAACAACGATAAGGTTTAACATGATATCATCACCTGCATTAATTGACAATAACAATGTGTTGCTCCAGAGTCAAATGTATCAGTGTTTTCTGGAATGTTTTCTCTTATACCTCTGCCACTGCAACTTTCTTCAATGTACCACCAGTTTTCTTTAAAATAGCGCTCATATCCAATGCTTCACCTCAACACAACATTATTTATGTTAGGAATACCGGTTCAAAATTCATTCTTCAATTTTTATTTTGAACTGAATTTCCAAACATCTGAAAATAGAATCAGAACCCACCTGGTTGAATGCATTCACCGCTTGGCGTTGTACACACTAAATTAACCTCTTTTCGAAGTACACGATCGATATCAACTTGGCTGAAGAATGCAACTGACTGAAAATTATAAGTGATGAAATTAAATTCGATTTTCTCACAGGTAGAACAGTTTTACAGCAAAATAACACAGTTCAGTCAAAAGAATTGGTAAAACAAGGCAAGCAAATAGTTGGCATCAAAAATTTTGAACTACTGATATTTGCTATTCTCGAGTAAATACTATTAACGAATATCAGAGACCAGGAGATCAAAAAAGTAGATTTTCTAAAAATGTTATCAACGAACCATTGGAAGCTCCCTGATGCCTAATTTTTGAGAAATCATAGCACGCACGTACATATTACTTAATGATAACGCCAACGCACATCGATAACGATCTTCTGCTGGTACAATATATCTAATCTGAAAATAAATTCACTTTTCTAAAACATCATCCAAATAAAAGTACGAAAGTCGAAATATCTTATTAAAAGAGATATTTCAAAGTTTCCCATTATTTAGCTTCACATAGACTTCTAGAAAGAAAGAAATCTACTTACTTCATCATGAATTGAAAGGGCAAACCGAGCCTCTATTTGATAAATTTCACAAAGCCATTTCATACATACAATAAGCAGGTGCAGAAAATCAACAGCACTTGACTGAACTACCTAAAAAGAACCCTATAAACAGCGTAAATTTCAAAATTAACAATTACAGAGAGGAATACATACAATCAAATGGAAAGGCCACAAAATCTTCATATGTTCTCATAATTCGAGAATCGTTAGTAATTCGGATTTTTGACTAAAATTAGAATTCCGAACAAAATTTGCGTTCATAATCCTATAAACTAGATTTGAAATCTTCCTTGCTTTTTTCGTTAACTGAAATCTTTTCCCTTCCTCTGAATGCTCCATATGCTCATATAAAAACAAGCTATATTTGTCAGGGAAAATTTTAAAAAAGATCTTGTCCAAATCAACCGATTACAGCAATCACCAGGATACAACTAATAATGTTGTAGTGAAGCGATAGCAAGCCAGATATGGCTATTTAGAGTCCTTCAAAGAAAAATTCTCTAGTTCAGCCTTGAAACCATTCCTTTCCAATCCACTTAAATGATTATGCTCTCATTAATAATGGCGATAATAAGATCTATCAATTACCCAATTTATGATTGAACGTCGATATTTCTTCAAGAAATATTCATGATCTCTGACATCCTTCGGTAACGGAGTCAAGCAATAACCAAGCTGGCAATTTAATACTGGAGTACATGGTTTAGGATTATTCAATGTTAGCTCCAAATAATTGAACGTATCAGATTCACTGTAAAAATTTTTTAATGTTCTCTAGCTTCCTTCTGAATAACTCAAACCAATTTCGAATAAGTTTTCAGAAAACAGCTGATTTTATTGCGACAATTTTGAAAATAAATTAAATTAAACGGATCTTTTCACTTACAATCCCCCAGTATAGAGCTGATATTCAGTGCACTCGTCATAAATTTGCTTAATTAACCAGTCTTTGCTGAAATCGACTTCATCTTGTCCTTTTTCGCGTAGTTTATTCCATACACCTTCATAAAGCCAGTCTTCAAAGTTTAGCGTCAGTTTCCTTTAAAAATTTTTAACATCAATTTTGAAATTACTCAGTTCAATTTTTCTGTTCTGAAAACAAATTCCGAACTTTCGCATCGAATCCTAAGCTTAGTAAAAATCTTATAAACTATGAGAAAAAAACACTGCAGGGAAGGCAACTAAATTAATTATAGTAAATTTCACATACCCTTGCCGGATGCGATATTCAGGTAAGAAATAACTACCATTTGCATACAAATAGTATGTCTTCATTTTTGAAGTGCACAGGTTATCGATGTACCAACGAAAATAATCGTTGTAATTTTCATTCAATTTCAAAAAACTGAAAAAAATAAAATTTTGTGGTAATTTTGAAAACGAAAAAAACCTTATTCTGCAAAAGAATAAGTATTTGCTTCATTCGGATTTTCATATTTCATCGGTTTATCAGGGTATTTTCCTAGCTAGAGATGGTTTCAGTTTTGGAACAATACATAGTTCGGAAATAAATATAAATGAAGCAGGAAATCTACATATAACTATGAGTGGTACAAAGGTGATACTAACTGATGCTATATCACCACCAATGTAACATGATTTCGTAATTTTACAGGATAGGTTATATTCATAACCCATGCATACTTTAACAAAGTACTACTTCTTCACAGATTAGTAATAAAAAGAGTGAAAATATTACTTGAATCGTTTGCCTTTAGTAGTAGCGAACAATTTATTGCTTACACTTAATGCTCTCTCGCTATTCATCCCTGACTGCATGAGAAATTCAGCCGCATGTGCTACACCCGAACCATAAAGCCGTGCATAATTCAGCACCTTCAATAAATATCCTTTCCAATGAATGATATCAACGTGAATTGGACGTAAGCATCTAAGCATCCAAGTATTTTATTTATCTCGCAATAAAGTTCAATTTTAAATATATAAAGTTGCTATTAAAACTTTGACCAATAAACAAGTTAAAAGAAAAAAAGGAAAGACAAATTGGAAGTAAAAAATATGAATTGGACGTAAGTAAAATACTCAATTAATCAATCAAAGTATCTTATATGAAATTACATGAATGTGATTTTGAGAAGCATCCAATTATTTTACTTATCTCGCAATAAACTTTAATCTTAAATATATTAAATAAAGTTGCTATTAAAGCTTTGACCAATAAACAATTTAAAAAAAAAGAAAAAAACTACTTTATAACTAACAAACCTTTGCTTTATCTCTGCTAATGCCAACTTCCTTTGCAACAACACTATGCAAATCACTATTATCAGCCTTACGACCTGCCAAAAGCATATTGCTGAAAGGAGTTGCACCAGCTATACCTCTGCCAACACAACAATCACCTAACATTGCTGCTATCCACTGCTCTTGTGAGTCAACATCTGCACCAACTATATGCCAATCTTGAGGACATTCTACCATTGACTTCAAATTGGTACCTATCATTTGATCATCCTGTAAAATATTAAACAGATAAAAATCTTTAAAGAATAAAATTCAATTTGAAAATTAAACGCAAAAGATTCCATAAATCCAGACCAAATTCACTGAAAATAGAACTATTACATTTGCGAAATTTCGGTATTCACCGATCCAATAATACAAACTAAGCAGAACTTATAAGTCAGAAGCTATTTGAGAATATAATATGAATACCTTTGCATTAATAGCCGTCAACCAAAGTTTATGAACAGCTCGTCTTGTTACTGTACCAGCTGGAATGATCGATGGCGCAATAGCTCCCTCATCACCATTTTCATCAAACCAAACTGTTACCTGCTCTTGAAATCGATCCCTGTATGAAGGCTTTATCAATTTTCCTACTATATTTCATTTATAAAATTTCGGGAATGAAAAATAAATAAAGAAAAAAGAGCAAGCAAAACATGAAATAAGGCTCGACCAACCATTAAAGATATTCTAATGGCAGCATAATTTTTTAAAAGAATCTTGAAATACCAGCTATCAGATCATCTTTACTAATTCAACGAATTGTCGGTTAGTGACGACTGACATGAAACAATCACTGCATTGGTAGAAAGTAGAGAGTCAATTTTAAACTGCACTTAATTAAAAACAAAAGAAACCTATAGTTGTTCCAAAATCGTGTAGTGTTTCTTGCTCGATATAAATCTAAAAACTCTTTTTTGTAACGCATCGGCCGTAAAACACCTTCTTCAATTTCCAGACGAAATGCTTTTGAAATTGGATCACCAACATTATCATGTTCACCATTCTAAAATGGTATTCTAAAATACCAAAAGTATAATTCAACTTTTGAAATAGCATTATAGAAATTACTTGACCAGCACGGTCCTATTTTCTTTCCTACATAACGACTACTCTATTTAATATCCAATCATTACCAGGTAGTACAGATAGGTTAGCAAGCAAAGCAGTCATATGTAAATTAGAAGAAAAAAAAGCCATATAAATAAATAATATGATGTTGTTATGATAGAAATGTGAAATAGGTTCAGGCAGCCCAGTCTAAATTGTTCTTTATCAAGTACTATGCTGTGATATTTTAAATCTTGAATATAGATCTTGTTAAAAAGGGAAGTAAAAAAAGAATTTCCCACTCTTAGTTGGTGAAATTTCTTTACAAAGTATTATTGTACGAGAAAATATTCTAAAGGAAAAGTTAAAACTTACAGGATGTGGTAATTTATGAAAACCAAAGATGCTTATTGATGAATGCGAATGTGTTAGCACAACATCTCCTATACCCTCAGCTATATTTTGTTGTATTACGCTAAGAATTGCCCTAAAAAGAATGAAATTCCACATAAAAAATACTGAATCCAATGTAAGAGTCAAGTGAAATGATGTTAAGATAGAATGGAGCATTAAAAATAGACAAATTTACTTCACAGGAATTGTGACTTTTACACGTCGCCTTAATATAACTTCTTCCATTTCTGGCACATCTGATAACGCAATACGAGAATCTGTAGATAAAAAAAAGAAAAAAATGGGGAAAAGTACTTGCAAGAAAGTGCCTAACAACAAGGAACTACTTGAATAAATAAAGAACTTTTAAACTCACATAAGCGTAAATAGGCACATAGAGAAAAAAAAATTACCTTTTGGGACCAAAAATCCCCAACCCTTATCAGTCTTGTAGTGCAATGGATATGGTCCCCAACAAAGTCCAAATAATCGTGGTACAACACGGCTTTTCAATTTCACATCTGCCTGGGATAACTCTTCTACTGGCGTATGGACAAGATTCTTAGTACGCAGCAACGATTCATACCATCTAAAGCGAAATAAATATCATTCGATACATCACGCAACGTTAGTTCATTTTAACATTGTAATTTATGCAACATTTGATTTAAATAAAAATAAATACCAAAGACAATCGGAATTCGACTGTATCATCGTAAAACTAATGCTTACATGGGAAACTTCTCTCCTTTGCGAATGCTCCAATCCACTGACCACATCCATGGGTCATGTTTGTATCTAAAACAATACCACAGTTAAGTTTAAAACAAGTTGCCAGGACTAACATCAAGAATTCATGTTTCTCTCTCTGCCTCCTCCCTCCCAGCGTAAACTTTAATGTTCCCTGAAACCTCCTTTAGATTCCCTGAAATTTCTTAAGATGTTAATATTTCTTAAATCCCAATAATGAAACTTTAAAACGTTTTACGATTGAATCGGCTTTTCCAATTTTTCTACTAGTTCTTTTGCTGCATATACTACTCCAATTGCAGCGATCTTATTTTCATGATTCGCGCGAGTTTCATTAAGGTCGAAAAATTTCCGCCAATTCTTCGTAACAGGTAGATAAACATTGCCGATTTCAAGCATCCCTTGCCATGTTACCGGATGAGGAAATCTGAAAAATAGCGGCCAACATATCATAACTGAAATAAAAAACAGTTGGAAAAAGTATGGCACTAGAAAAACGGAATAACAAAATACAGTTAGGACCTTTTTCTGAATTCGGGATATAAAACCTGGTATAGTTCGAAACAAGCTACAACATCGTAAGCACAATATGTAGTAAGATCCTAGAAAAAAAAAACCGAAATTGCGATTAGAATAAATTCTTCCATTATCTTAATGCCAAATTCAATTATGTAAGGAATACATCCAGTTGAATACCACCACAAGTCATGACCAACAGCTGAATTCAGTGATATGATTCAGAATTCTTCGGATCTGCTTACACATAATTCATTCACTGTACACAATTGTACGATCAATCAAGAAAACTAAATGATGCCTGGACAATTTCGGTAGTTCGTGTGATCACTGTTTAGCAATAATAGAGCTAATTAACCTGAAATGATCGTCGTATTTCGTCGATGGGTTCCTTCACGAAAAATGTTTGGAGTGATTTGTTCAATGGTTTCAACGAAGTGGTACCACATAGTTTTTCGTGCAATGCACTTAATGAGTTTTTGCATACAAGCGATCGCCAATAATCAATCCAACCGACTGGCTAAATGCAAATTTCTGAATATTTCGATTTGCAAAGTGTTAAGGTCGGTACTGATGAGGTACCAAACTACCAACGATGTAATGCAGGCATATACATATATATAAGATAATTTCATAATCTCGTTTTCAGCAAATTTCTCTTTACAAATTTCTCACTGAGATATATTCTTGAAAATCGTTTTATATAAAATTTTACTTTGAAATATAAATTCACATTAATTTATATTTTATGTCATAAAAGTCATTATTTTCGAATTTTTGAAAAACCTTGCGCATTATACATTAATTTCAATACCTTAATAAATAATATAAAAATTTACTCAAACAACTATTCACCTCCATACCTCCACTAGTTTAAACTGTTAACTGCAATTGAAAAAATGATGGATAAAGCGGGACAAATAATTTTGGCATTTCTGTACGATCATATAAAAGTCTTGTGGTGCATTATATATATAACAAATGAATTGAAGCAGAAAACTGGAAAATCCAATGAATGCCTGATCAAAATATGAATTTTATGATTTTGATGAAAAGAATCAAATAAGCAAGCAGAATTGGAAATAAATGTTAAGCAATAAAAGAATATGTGCACAAATGCTCACTCCGGAATCATCCACTTCGGTATCTTTCTTCTCGTACAGAGCTACCTGATGGTCTGCCATCCCATATATGGGTATTGCCATTGACATCGTATCCCAAAATCGTGTATTCGTTCCCTAAATAAATGCGTTTCTTGATGAAAGAATGAAATCAAAAATTATATTTCGATAAATACTTCAAGAAACAACAACATGGTTTTACTTGTCATCTCAAAAGATACTGATCCTAAATTCTAAATTGATTACATAGTATTTCAGAACAAAATAAGATTCACCTTTCTATAATATTGCTCCCTGACTCTGGATCGATCAAAAGCTACGTTATGCCCCATAATCAAACGATATTTCAAGTCTTTTTCATCTGTTTCAAATGCAATCAGATGATTCAAACGATATAGTTCAGGAATGTCTCCACCATTCACCAATCGATCACTGCACCAGGAATACCTAAAAAAAGCAAACAATCCTGCAGAAGTTTTCGAGGTATGTATAATATTTACAAAAAATTTTTAAGAGTTTCGAGAAAATTTATTACTTGAAATTTTCTTGGAAATTATATTTATAATTTTCCATCATATAATAATGTTCAGATTAAATCATACCATGCTTTTGGTGTTACAGCAGTAGCAAGAGTTGGTAATAATCCATCCCGAACACATACCTCAACATCAAAAAATATCAAGTCTTCAAGTGGGTGATCAACCTAAAAAGAAAAAAATCCACTACTTTCTATTTAAATGTTTAGAATACTGACATTTACAAGAAGTTCAATTGGAAAACTTCATTTTCGCATTTGGATTTGAATACTGTTTCATTTTATATTCTTCCGACTAACGGTCCATTAAAACCATAAAATCTAAAAGAAAAGATAATATAAAGTTATCATTCTCGACCATCTTTATATACATATATGTATATATGTATGTATGTATATATATATATATATGTATATATATATATATATATATGTATATACATATATGGACATATGTATATAAGTTCACTCATTATTATTCATCACAATATATATATATATATATATAATTTAATGGGGGCGGAGGGGGAGGAGGGGGCGGGAAAGAATGATTTGCACCGCTTGTTTGTTGAATATGGAAGAATAAGAAACCATCATCAATTTACCATCATCACCACTATTAATTAAGATTAGAATGAATAAATTTCTTATAGTATAATATTTCCACAGGAAAAATATAATATGAAAACTAAAAGCTGCAAAATGAGAAAATCCAGTATTTCTTTTCATTTATTAATTATTTTGTATTTTCTAAATGATATTAATCTTTGATATTGTGTCATACTTGTTTTGGTGATTCGTTCATCCCATATCTTGTCCAACCAGGATGAAAGATCCATTTCTCCGGGATGACAGGTAACTTTCGAATAGTTGTTGCTTCAACCAGGAGGCGACGATATGGTTCAAACTGCTTGATGGCAGTATTTTCAAAATGATCCAACAGATCTGAACCATTCAGCTGTGGCAAATCGAGTGCTTCAAATGGGTCATGCTTTAAGGTATTCTCCGGAACCGGGTAATTACCAAATAAATGACGATGTAAACGTTCCGGCACCAAATCAATTTTTCTCAAGCTAAATGAAGCATTCCTCTTTGAAGTTGACGGTTGCTCCGCTGAATTTACTCCTACCGTATACCATCTTGTTATGGCAAATGACCAGCTTTTACGGACAACTGACGAACCACACCGAACTGACATTGTCTGAAATGGCCAGCATGAAAATTACTTGAAATAGAATAAAACTGCCTCATCTACCAGTTTGCTTAGTTTGTTAATCTGTCAAGTTCAGCATCCATATTCCTACAACCACCAATGTGGAACAATTAAGAATATTAAGGACGTGATGATGATACGCAATAAAAATTATAATAAACCTTATATCGTTAAATATATTTTATGCAGTAATTAGCTGTGATATACATGAATCAGTGTCATACTTAGTCGCCAATGTTTTAAATTCAATTTCACATTTGAAGACAAACTCGGAAAATCCAATGCAAAAACACAGTTTAATGTACACATCATGTTTTATTCGGTACAATGAATCAGTAATAAATAATAATATTCAAATTATTATTGAGCTATGTAAAAGTTGACAAGACATCAAAATCAAAAACTTGAATAAAAAGTCAAATACTCTAACTTAAATACTTTCTAAAGTTCGGAATTTCCATCTACAAAAGGAATCAAACGAAAACTTTTTTACCTTAATTCCTCAAATAGATACAAACAGAATTTTGACAAGAAATATACTCATTATATAATAAAATGTATCAAGAGATTATCGCGTCAATTCCAAAAGTGCATTTTCTCGTGCAATAACATGCCTATCGAATTGAATTATATAAGTGGTACCATCATGCCAATGTGCACTAACTTTACATGAAAAATTGCTTGCCTGGAAGAGAATTAATAACTCACGTTTCTTGCTGCGGTAAAGAACGTTTCTTGCCACAGTATACAAAATACTGATTATATCGAATTCTAGAATACATAAGTCTAACCTCCAAAACTGCTTCAATGATGCCAGCAATAAACGATGCACAATTCAAATTTCCTTTGTCTTTCGGGACGGATATGTATGTATTTACAATAGGTTCCTTTTCAATCAGTAAATCTAAACAATAAAATCTTTGTGAATTGATTTAAAAAATTAAATCAGAATTTCCATAGTAATGATCTAATGACTTTCGCGGAAGCCAAATTATATTCGTAAAAGCGGAAGTTGTCGGAATAATGTTAAAAGTAAATACACAGAAAAAATACTTCAAAGTATATACACAGAAAAAAAAAGAAAAAATGCTTTACATAGAAAAAAATCTTTCAGACGAGTTCTGCAGGAAAGAAAAAGCATTTCTCATTTTGTTGTCAATTATTTGTACCAGGTAATTTCAAAAACACGTTTTGCCATCTTTATTAGTACTCATTCCCCACGACCTCAACAAACTACAAGTTACCAAAAATATATGTAAACGCTTACACTGGCATGGATCGTCATTACTTCGCTCTAGTTTATCAGCTTCTTTATTAAACAAATTCTTCCAGATAGTTCCCTTGACAAACATTAACATATTCAATAATTTAACCTCACGTCTGTAACCTTTCTCTCGCAACACAATGACATCTAACAGTCGACTCCCAACAAATTTCCCATAGCCTAAAAGCCTAAAATTAATTTTACTTCATGTTCAACGAATGAATATGACCAATGAATGATTTGAAAAAAATAAATCAAAAATTCAATTTCAAAAGGACTCTTGCAAAGTGACAAATGAATGCAGGGAATTTTATTGCAATTAAATCCCGCCAGTAAACAGTAAAAGATAATCTTTTTCTTGCTCCATTTCACTGAATACTTGTCAAATTTAATTTACTTAATTACTATTTTGCTCCATTTTTTCGCCTCGCTTATTCGAGTTCGAATTATCTTACTTTTTTCCTCCGATTTTCACCTTTAAAAATATGTGTGTGTCCAGATACATATAACTTTCCATAACTTTACACAACAAACAAAATGATTCTAGTTTAACTGCTATGAGAACTGATTCTTTAACCGGTGCTTTGAAGGAATCATGACGTGACCATCTCAAGATAGAATATGCATGCTAAGCAGGTTCAACGGAATACAAATACACATTACTGAACTATATACTAAGTACTGTTTCGTTTTTTAAATACCGTTTTTAAGTACTGTTTCTTCTTGGATTTAACTTTTTTATAGATTTCGCATTATCGAAAATTTGCCAAAAGCGAGTAAATAAATGATTAAAAATTATTATTCATAAAAGCACTAACTTGTCTTGTAAATCGCTAACGGTATTAGACCGATTATTCGCGTATCGGATCATTTCCGCAAACAATAGGGCAAACGAAGAAAAATTCACCTTCAAATAGCAATAATAAATTGCTTACATAGAGAAGAAAATTACTGATTTCAGTTGTCACAGTTTAAACCATTACTTATTAAAAACACCTAATAATTCATGTTGTAACCATTCCTTGCAGGTATAACAATCCCAATCCTGGCTTCTTGACAAATCATGCCTGGTCTTTTTTATGAACTTATAGTTTAATCCATCAAAATTCAGTTCTTTAAAAGAAAATTCATCAAATAAAAACCTCTGTTTTGCCTCGGCTCAACGATTTATCCAATATACTTCCGTGTTTTCCACTTCCAACACGCTGCATTTTAAGTAAATCTGCAAAAGTAAACGAAATCTTTCCATTTGCGATGAACATTATTTATGTTGAAACTAAGTTAATGAGAGCTGAAGTTATTATAACGCTCTTTTACGGTCACCTTTTTATCGCTCAACCGTAAAATAGTTGTCCTGTAGTTAACTCCAGTGAAACGAAAAATCGAAATTCTTCCCCTCCTGCAATAATAACCTATCATTCTACCCAACATATGCTACTCTTCATAAATTTTAATGAAATTTATGAAGAAAACACAAACAGGTACTATGCTGATATACAAATCTTTTATGGCTGATGAAAGATGTCCCTAATTTCAGGAAGCAACAGTACTCTCCCTAATGTAATTCTATACTATACTGTAGTTTAATGTATCCAAGCTTCAATTATACCACTGAATAATCCCATAATTAATAAGTGGGAAGTCACCATTACAATTCGATTACTTAATTATTGGTATGCGACTTGAGGGAAGACAATTAAATGTAAAAAAAATTTAAAACAACACCAACTACTTATGTGTCACCAACATATATCCTTTCCGAATTGTTTTAAATTGTGTTCTCGTGCTCAAGTATAAAACCATTATAAGTTAAATTTCGATATTAAACTGACAAACGGTGCCGACGGAATGACATTTGACATTCATTGACTAACACATATGTTCATCGAATTTATATTTCTGAACATTACAAATCAAAGAGAAGCTTCACAACAAGAAACAAAATTTCCGGATGAAAATTACAAATTTATATACATTACAAAAGATAGGCCGACTTGAAATATCCCGAACCAGATTGAAATTGAAATTCGAATTTAAATATAAATTCACAAATGAAAAGCTCCTGCTTGCAGGTAGAATTCCGCAACTAACTGCGACCATTTTTGTCCATCTCTAATTTAATACTAAACTTTAACTTAGATAGCTGCAATCAGAACAATAACAAAGAAGATGAACAATGACATATAAAGATATCCAGAAAAGATATTGGAAAAACTTCCTCTTTTCAACTGAAAAAGCTAGAATTTCAATTGGAATTCCAGAAAAATCGGTGTTGTGATTTCTGCATCTTTTTTTGCTAATGATCTATCTGACAACTTCCCTTTCTAATCTGTTCTTTGTAACGATGAAATCAAGAGCCAACTTAACATATCATTAGATATGTATACTAGATCTCATTTTAGCCTAATACCTAATCAAAACTTGATGGACTGTCCAGTCTTTCACTGCACCGAGTCGTCTTACAATCGTACTCCAAACATGATTAGGTATGGCAGTTTTTTTCTTTCCAATTCAAAAAGAAGACTCTCCTCAAACGAACTAACTGTCAAATTAATTTCATTTGATCCACCGCAGTTAAACTGACTAATAAATTAACATTTGAAAAACCACGAAAATGTAAAAAAAGATTACGGAACATTAAATTGCATTTTCATAATCATTTTCAATTTTGAAAAAGATTTTCCTATTACTCCTGGACTTTTTAGGTTCGAAGTACGCCGAATTCAGCCATCGAACAAACTTCTGATCCGGATCACTACTTAGTAGGTTTTCTGACCAGCCAAACATTTCTGCCTCTAAAAATACATAGGGTAATTTATCTGAAACAGCAATTCATGTAACAATCATGCAAAGGAAAAAAAAGTTTGAAAATTCCAAATTTTCCAGGTCAGAGCGAAAAAAAATGATTGCCAAACCTTTGCAAATAACCGGCTCTAAAATAAGCGGTTTTGTAACGTTTGCTTTCTGATTCGTGCTGAAACTAATAAATTTTACAAATTATTACCATGTCTTTAAATCCTTCGTATTCCAGTTTACCAGATGTTTTGAACCCCAATTTTCGGGTGATATTATTTGGAAAGTTTGGAACGAGATGCAATAAGCGATGCAGCAATAAAAAGTATTCTTTTTATTGCTGCATCGAAAAAAAAGTGAAGGAACTTATTTCCAGCTATGAAGAATTTAACAATAAATCATACACGAAAATTAGACAAAATCGGATGAAATCAAACGATC